GTGATCTCTCTCTAGCAAGTCAGATTTCGCACTACTATTAATTCAATAAGAAGGCACTTGGCTATTTTAAACCACTATGTAATTTGCATTTCGTCGCGGATATAATTTCTACCAACGCAACGAATTATAATTATAAAATACAACTTTGTTGATTGATCACCTACAACCGCAAGAGAAAAGTATAATTACTTATTAAATACCCATTGTGTAATAAATAATAATTAAAATAAATAGTAAATAATCAAAATTATATCAAATCATTCCCAGTTGACATTACAACTAAAACCGCTGTATCTTTTCCATTGCGTCACAAGCAATATTCGTACGAACTGAAACGAAATCCTAGTTAATCACTGTTTTCATTCAATTGAAATGTATCTTGACAATTCACAAATCTGTGTATCTCCCAAATTTGATTACTGGTTGCTTGTATCATTACTATTAAGTACCTATTCGAAGTAAATAAACGAAAATTTCTACATAATATGCCAAAAAAATCGATATTTCAACGCTCAGAAAATATAAACAACAGTTAGTACGGAGACGCCATCAAAACAAGTGTCAAATTTTTATAGGCCAGGAAATATACCGGGTAGGAAAGTACCGATGGTCTATCTGAAGTTACGTGAGAGCGATAAAGTAAGCCATAGAAATCCATGTGATAGACAAGGGTGGGTATAGTGAAGGCGTCTAATAGTCACCGCCCATTTCGCCCTTCCACAAATAAGAAGTGGATCTTATTGATATTATAGAAGATTGGCTAGTTAATTGTATAATTTTTACGTAAATTCACGTTTTTCGCTCATAACTTTTTTCCGTTCATTTCCACGAGAAAACAGTAAAGTACTTTTTTCTCGTCTTCAAAAGACCTACAAAACTAGCCCTCGAGCGTCAAAAAATATTGATTAGATCAAAAGTTATAAACAGAAGAAGTTTATTTATGACTTTTGAATTAAACATTTATAAACTGCGTTATTATTACCAGAACGTTTTGGCATCGCATCCTCTCATTCCTTATCACTGTCTAATAACTCACACGAAATCTGGAATCGGTAAGTTGAATAGTTTACAAGTTATGGCCTTATAAACAAATTAACTAATTATTAGTCTGGACGATCCCGAGGATCTTCCACAATCGCACTGATTTTTTTCATGGTAGATTTCATAATAATACATTGAAATCTATATTTTTTTTTTAATTTCAAATTTGCAACCTGGAATTTTTTTTATTTTTTAGCCTTAGTTGCAAAATGAAATATACGACGCACGAGCGTGATATAGTTATATATTATTACATATTCGGAAAGCTTATGAAAAGAGCTTTAAGTTAAAAAAAAATCGTCAAGATTCGTTGAAAAACAACGGAGTTACAGACTGTCAAAGTTGACGGCCTATTGTTAAACAAATTAGGTTGGTAGCGGCAAAAAAAATACTGTCATAACCGGCAACCCGAGTACTTTCCCAGATAAAAATATTTTATTTGTGGAAGTATGTTAAGTGCATAAGAAATATTGTCAAAAGTCAGTGGGTCGCTTGATTTTTCGAAGCGAGCGACAGCGAGTCCGAAGAAAATGACGATAATATTCATAGTCCTGCCGTTAAAAAAGCGAAATTCGCTTAAAAATAATATATTTGACAATCTGTAACTGCGTTGTTTTTCCATGAATCTTGACGACTTTTTTTTAACTTAAAACTCTTTTCATAAGCTTTCTGAATATGTAATAATATATAACTATATCACGCTCGTGCGTCGTTTGCAACTAAGGCTAAAAAATAAAAAAAATTTAAATTTGCAAATTTGAAATTAAATAAAAAATGATAGATTTCAATGTATTATTATGAAATCTACCATGAAAAAAATCAGTGCGATTGTGGAAGATGCTCTGGATCGTCCAGACTAATAATTAGTTCATTTGTTTATAAGGCCATAACTTGTAAACTATTCAACTTACCGATTCCAGATTTCGTCTGAGTTATTAGACAGTGATAAGGAATGGGAGGATGCGATGCCAAAACGTTCTGATAATAATAACGCAGTTTATAAAAGTTTAATACAAAAGTCATAAATAAACTTCTTTTGTTTATAACTTTTGATCAAATCAATACTTTTTGATGGGCTAGTTTTGTGGGAAAAAAAGTGCTTTACTGTTTTCTCGTAGAAATGAACGGAAAAATTAAAAAATTTGAAAGGTTATGTATAGAAGGCGTTGATATTAAGAACGAAATTTTTGACAGCAGAGTATGCCTTGATAAAACTGAAATAAAAAAAAAATCGACCCTTCCCAATGTTTGTCTTGGTACCTATAAGAAAAGTTATACTTAGCGTTCATTTTTGCAAGTATACTGGAATTGAAGTAGCGGTATTTCTATATTTTTACTACTTATGGATTTTACCTATAAATAAAGAGGTTTTTTTCACTATCTCTCCAATCGATACGGACAAAATCTGGCGTACATTTGAAGGGCCTAGTGACCATGTGGACTGAATGTGGCGATGCGTAGTCGCGAGGGGGCGAAGTTTCTGCAAGGGTCGCAAGTTGTGACGTGGCCACTTGAGAGGGCGTGTGTTTTGAAGTGGTCGACGGGCTCTGGAAGCGTCCTAGGGCCCCCGATTTTTATATCGACGCCGGCCGTCGTACAGATGTTGTTTGTATTTTGATTTCAAACGCATTTTAGGCCGCTTATGTACAGCGCGGATGAAAAATTCTGCGGGAATTTCCTGTCAGAAATATTTAAAGAAAAAATTTAAATACAGTGCGGGGACACACTGTATTTAATTTTAGGCATTACTTGAGCTCTCGAACAACTTTGTTAAATAGGTACAGATTTTAGCGGAAACAAAAATTAAAGGCACTTTTTTTGGGGAAATTTCACATTTTGAAATGTTTTGGGCTCCCTGTATGTTTTACTACATATTTGATTACTGCCCATGGCTTCCCAAGATAAGCAAAACTTTTTATAGGCCAAGCAAATAAAATTTTTACTCGAAAAAATTCCTATCCGCGATATTATTGTAAAATTGTCTAAAGGAATATAATATAAGACATCTCTCATCTCGAGTCAAAAAATTTTATTAGCTAACTTTTCTATTTAAACAAATAAGTGAGGAAAACAGTTTTTTCACTTTGCAGGGAAAACCATCAATTTTAGCGAAAAGTGACTCCCAGACAGCTTATAGGGAGTAAAATTATCTACAAAATGAGACTGGTTAAATTAAAATCGGTTAATAAACAAAAAAGTTATTGCAAAAAGACAAGAAAATTGCAATTACTTTTTTGTTTATTAACCGATTTTAATTTAACGGGTCTCATTTTGTAGATAATTTTATCCCCTACGAGCTGTCCGTGAGTCACTTTTCCCTAAAATTGATGGTTTACCCTGCAAACTGAAAAAACTGTTTTCCTCACTTATTTGTCTAAATAAAAAAGTTAGCTAATAAAATTTTTTGACTCGCGAGATGAGAGATGTCTTGTATTATGTTCCTTTAGACAATTTTACAATAATCTAGCGGATAGGACTTTTTTCGAGT